CCTTCAAAACTATAATTTGAATAAATATATGCCTTAGAGAGTGGATACAATTGATTTGTATTGATACTAGTGGATAAAAAGTAACAGCATTCATTAAGCATCTTTTTTTACTTTAGTCTGCCTCAGCCAAGATTTTTAATTGTACTAATATAGTTTGACTAAACACAGCGCTTTCTCCTTGCCTAAAAATATTTCCCTCTGAAATTTTCCTGAGCTTCATAGTTCTTACTTAAAAAGTAACTCATTTGAACAAGAAGTAAACAACTGGAGTTTAGAAAACTCATAAAGTCCTGGAGGATATAAGATTGCTTTGAGTCATTGATGTCCATTATGAGTGAGGGATTTGACACCAGAAAGGCTGTTTTGAATTCAGTTGGTAACCTTGATGGTTCATGCCCATGCTGCTGACTTTTGTTTGTTCTGTTCTCTGTGATCTTTCTTCTGGGCCAAGCTCAGTATCATGAAGCCTTTCATTCCTTGAATTACTAAATAACGGCTAGAAACACTAGATTAAATAATGTTTATGTTTCTTTTAGAGGTTTATCCTTCCTAGATGAGGACAAAAAATAAGAAATTTGACCCAACCTTCCCCGAAGACAAATGAAAGATCCTGATTCGTGTCAGGATTTTGCAGGGGAGATCAACATCTTGCTGGTAATTTTTAGCAGTTCTGCAATTGCCAATGCTATCCTTGTAGTGCAGGAGCACTTTCTGAAGGAGGAATACGAGAGCCACCAGCAGATAGCAGATACTGCTCGCTTGGGTGTTGGAGAGCCTGTGAGTGCCTGCTGTGACCAGTAGATGACTGCTGAGCCATTAGCTCTCTGTCTGAGAACAGCTGCCCAAGCACTGCTGCAGCTCTTATTTTTAGATGAGACACAGTGTTGGCTTTATACTTAATCCTTACAGGACTGCTACAAGGGTTTCCTCTTGCTTTTCCTGTACCATTTACTCTTTAGTGCACAGAGTTCAAAAAAGCCCCTCCCTCCAATGGCTACAGTGCTGATTTTCTGTTTCCCTTCTGCAAGGGAATCTGAAACGCAGAGGCCAAATAGTAATGTGTACTTGTCTAGAAATAATGTGCTGAGTTTGTAACTACTGGAGAAAATAATCTGGCACATAGTTATTTCCATGTACCTCCCTAGCACCAAGAACAATTAGGCACCAGCTGAAGACAGTGACTGCCAAAAACACATTTGGATGATGTGGGTGTTTCTGGGTGGTACAGTCATGCGTTAACAAGTGTGACTGCATCACGAAAACAAAAGTGTATTTGTATCCTCAAGCCCTTAGAAGGGATATGCCATCCTGAAGAGAAAAGGACACCAATAAAGCATCTGGTAGGGAGGAAAGGCAAAGAAATGAGCACAGGATAATGAGGTGTATTTAACTGCTTGCTGTTAGCAAATCCATCCACCTGAACTGGATGTAGTGTTCACAGCTGCTTCAGGAATCATTCTCTGTGAAAGCTGAAGTGGGAGCAGGTCAGCTGCTCCAAATCCAGTTCTCTGGGTGTTAGAAGAAATCTAAACTGATGGGCAGATGGGTGGGCAGCAAACAGCAACAGGGAGGGCAGCTGCAGCAGGGATAGGGACCCGGAAAGCTTTGTGCAAACTCTAGAGGAGATGTAAACCTTTTCCTTGCCATACACACAGAGAGTCTTCTTACAGAGCTAGGAAACCAGACACCATTTTTCCTGTTTGCTGAGTTTGGACTCTCACAGGGCGCAGAGCTACTTGCAAAAAATCTTAGCTTCAATGCCTAAAATCTTGGTCCCTCTTGCTCCTTGAATCCAGTGCTAGGCTACAGTGGATGCCCGTGTACTTCAGGGGGAGTGGAAAGCAGCATCCTCTAGAAAACATAACCTTTATGCATTTTGGAAGAGGAACTCATGGTTTTTTTTCTTAACACATATCATGCATGGATAAATGCTAGAGATGAAATGAAACTGCATGAGGTTGTGTGGTGAAGAGTTCAGCACAGTGGATTCCGTTAAAAAACAAGTGATGAGTTGCAGTCAGACACCAAGAAATGATGGTCCGCAAGCTGCAAGTGCTTTTAATAGGAGACCCATCCACTTGTTTGCTTAGGTTTCTTGTAGTTGCATCTTCCACCACTAGGGTGTTGAAGGGCGAGCAGATACAGCTCAGCGAAAATGATACAAAAGAAATCGCCCTGTATTTCAGAAATGTTTAGCAGCTTAATTTGATTCAGAGTGTAATACTGTTAACAGTGCATAAATATTTTCTATTTATCTACATATCATTCCATTCTTTGAGCTTTATCTACTATTATTTAAAGATGAGTATTTTTAAGTATTCATTCCCCTCAAAAGAAACCCCTATTTTTTTCTTCCACTTTGATTTCACAACATCTTGTCAACAATATATTCTACCCTCCAGCAGTCATAAAGGGAGAAGTAGGGGGAGAGGAAGTCCTGCACCTAGATATCCAATGTTGTGTCTTAGTGCTCAGGAAAGGTGGAAAACAGAGGTCTTCAATCTTAAATGTTTCAGTGGGGTTTTCTTTGCTGGCTCCTGCTAATCTGCTAATCCTTTTAGAAAGCTGAATTCCATGATTCTCTCTGGAGACAGCAGAGCACAGCTGATGTTTAAAGCAGTTTTTTTTCTGTCAGCATAATGCAGCCATTGCTGAGGTCATGGGGGCTGCAGAGGCTGTGCTCTGACTGCAATGGCAGTAAAGTGCGCTAGCTTGCACTGAGCATGAGCCAAATTCCAGTCTGTCGCATCCTAGGATCTTCAAAATTTAGCTATGCTACCACTGCACTGGAGCTACAGAGCTTTTTATTATATTCCTGGCCAGGTTAAAATCAACAGTAAAGCAAATGCACTGTTTCTAGTATTTCTGAGCAGCATCTTATTTGGACCTTGATGTGAAAGCAGAATACAATAAATTGCAGGTGACAGTAACAATTAGATCAGTATATCATGTTTCAGATCTCGTCATCTTGCAAGAAACACCTCTGACAGCTGTTGTGTTGGATGACAGCTAGTGGGCAAAATACAAAAATTATTAAACTCCAGAGTTTGTATACAGGGGAGGGAGAGGGAGAGAGAGAAGCGACAGTGATGGCTTCTTTCTGAGTTTTCTTTCTAATGAAAACCTCTGAAAGTCTCTTGGAAGAACAACTGAAAGAGTGGCAATACCTTTCCCAAACTACGGGTGTGCATAGTGGTGTCATGTCTCCGCTTGTTTGTGGTGTCCCTAAGCTGCTGGCCCCTGTGCCCAGTTAGAGTGTCTTTGCAGGAGACTGCTGCTGCTGACAGCGGGATTTGTAATTCCTGTAATAAGCCTCAAGTCCCTGTTCCTGCTAGACAGCATTGAATGGCTGGCAATGAGTTCAAAGTGACACAGCCTGAATCTGTTTGTCCTGAAAAGTGCAGACCTCATCCCTGGGTTCTGATCTGGCTCTTCATGATTAATCTGCACTCAGGTAAATGCCCACTGCTCTGGTGGTGTCGGCAACCATTATTTGTCAGCAAACTTGTACTCAGTGTTGAGGCTTGGCATGTGGAGCATGTAAATCAAGATTGGGTAAGGTGCCATCTTTGAGGCCTTAGAACATGGCCCACAAAGGGATTTGTTAGCTGTAGTTATCTTTGACTGAACCAGCTGACCAGGACTGACCCACAAGGTCCTTTTAGCTCTGCTGGGATGGGGACATGGACTAGATATTCCGGGTGAAGGAGGGATGCCAGACAGTGAGCATCCCACAGGATCCCCTGCCCAGGTGTGCACTGCATACTGAGACTTGCCCTCACTGGAGAAACGGCTGCACCAGCTTTTCTAGAGACCCATGCTGCCAGCACTGTGGCTTATCTCTGCTTTCTCACATGCTTTGAAAGAGGGTGCACAGCCTTCGTGTTTGAGGCAGTAGAGAAAAGACTCAAGGGTCGTTGAGCTTCTGGGGTTGGAGGGTTGAACAAGCTGAGCTGGAGCTGCCAACCCACGTTCTTCATTAGGTGGTCCTCAACCAAACCTCACTAAGCTACCCACCATCAGCAATGCTCTGTGTGGCTGGGTTTGATGCTGAAAGTCACAGGGGCCATGCCTGGCCAGGTGTGTGAGCTCGGGTTGAGGACATGATGAAAGGAGTGTCTCACACTTATCTCCCTTCTAACATCTCCATAAGGAGGACCAGCTGCTCTTTATGAGCTTACCCTCCCTAGTCCCCACTGAAGCGGTGTCTCAGAACAGCAGGCACTACATGTACCCAGCTTACTGGAGATGTCCCAGCTGTCTGGCTGGGAATATGCCAGATATGTGTCTCTTGGGGATATGCGCACATCTGTTGCGGGCGTGCAGTGGCAGAGAGCAACAACAGTGGCTTGTTAAGAAACTGCTAACCCCCTGAAATCACCTTGCCTGCTGCTGGGTTGCTGCGAGGGTATAACACGGGGAGGTCCTTCATCTACGGGAGAAAGCGGGGCTGAAGCTGCACTCAGCTAATCAACGTAAGATGATGCTAGATATGTTTAAAGCTACTACCCTTCAGTGGGAATGGCTTGGCTCTACACTGCAGGCCTGTGCCAAACTAATAAAATAATGTCTTAATTCCAAGGTGTATTTTCTACTTATTTGTGATTAGGGCTTAAAACCAGTATGTTGTCTTACTTAAATTTCATTGATGACTCAGGGTTGCTTTTTTTAGACATTTTTCTTTCTTTGTCTACTTCAAGTGTGTATTTCCTTCATATTTAAGGCAATGCCTTATGCTTCAAGCTAGGCAGCTGTGCAAATCCCGAGTGGATCAAAGCCACAATACGCTACCTTTTTTACCCAGAGCAAAACTGATTGCAGATGATCCATCTCTTTAAAACTCAGGCAATTTATGCTACCAATACTACTAATACAAAAAAGTCATAATGTAAGTGCAGTCTTGGTGCTTTTCCTTAAATACAACGGAAGTCATCTCAGTTATATAAATTTATACAGGTTAAAAAACAATGTGTATGTTCTTCTTATATGAACAAAAGCTCTTAAAGATATTGCCTACACCTCACAAGCTTCTGGAAGGCTTTCTTGAAATCTTCATTAAAGATTGTGTAGATTAGAGGGTTAATAAGGGAATTTATATATCCCAGCCATGCTAGGAAGTTAGACATGTCTTCTGAGATGTGACATCTTTCACAGGTGTTAACAACTACTTCTTTTACAAAAAAAGGGAGCCAGCAGATCACAAATGCCCCCAAGATCAGACCCAGTGTAGTTGCTGCCTTTCGCTCTCTTGTGCTGGAGATTCTCTGTTTTTTCCAGGATTTCTCATGTTTAGATTCAGACCTGGGGCTTCGTATGCTGACATTGATTCTATCGCAGTTCACCAGGGGATCTGATGTCTTCTCCGCTGTGCTGGGCATTGAAGTTGATTTGGTGCTTCTTTCACCTGCGTCCAAAAGGACTTGTCCATTTACCTCCTCCCTTACAATCCGACTGACGCTTCTTCTGTGAAAGGTCTTTGCTGCCTTATATATCTTGTAATAAAGGATCAGAATCAAGGCCAGGGGGATATAGAAGGCTCCAAATGTAGAGTAAATGGTGAAGACAATGTGGTCGTGTTTGATGATGCATTCATCATCCCTGCTCGTCGTCTGGTGCCGCCAAAACAAAGGTGGCATGGAGATAAAAATGGATATGATCCATACCACTGCAATCATGATGCCAGCATGTTTAGGTGTCCTTTTCCGCGCGTATTCCACAGCATCTGTGATTGCTCTGTACCGGTCCAAAGCAATGGCAGAGAGATGCAAGATGGAACATGTGCAGCACATAATGTCCACGCTCAGCCAAATGTCACACACCACTTGCCCCATGATCCAGGTCTCCTTTACGATGTAGACAATGCTGAAGGGCATCACTAGGACTGCCACAAGGAAATCAGTCACTGCAAGAGAGCAGATTAGATAGTTGGCGGGGTGGTGGAGCTTTCTTGTCACAATTATTGCAGTCATCACAAGAGAATTGATGGCTGTTGTCATTAGTGCAAGCGCAGACAGGGTAATGGAAATGAGAATCTTGGATGTCACCCATTTGAACAGTTCTTCTGAGGTACCATTTTGTTCAGTTGAGTTTATTAAATCCATGTTCCCTTTTAAAGGTGATCTTTACCAGTAGCAGTTACCTGTTGGAAAAGTAAAAACATTCAGAAAGTGCATCCTTAATCTCCAGGAAGTCTTGGCTTTTGTCATCTTAAAAGTCTATCACCCCCAAACTTACAAGAACCTCAGATTTATCGTTAGAAACGATTCTGTCTCCAGATAGAGTTTCCTGGCTAGCACTAGGTGGGATGCTCTGCCTCTAGAATAGGGGCCTCCTCTTTCTCCTTGGTCGTGCTGTTGAGAGGGCGTGTTTGTGGGGCGGAAGAGAGGAGCGTGCCGTGGTGCCCAAGGTGGTGGTGCTCTGTGTGGGGGAACCAGCCATGTTTCTCGAGCAGGGCAGTGGCATCAGCGCAGCCCCTGGGGTGCAGAGCCAGCCCTAGTGGATCATAGTGGAGTCTCAAAACTGGTTAAGTGTGGACAATCTCATTTAAAAGTAAGTATTAATACTGCTCATAGGCCAGCACCATCTACTCCACTAAGCAATGTAATGACTGTTGAAAACTTTAATCCACAAGAAGTCGGCATAATTCTTCTTTCCTCTATATAAACTGCTTTCCCCCCCATCAGTATGTGAGCCCTTCCTTGTGTATAGATAAGCATGGGCTTTCTAAACTGGGATATAGCTTTCAAGAGAAAACAGAAACGTGAAACATTGCAGTACAAACAGGATAAGAAACAATTGCGCGTTTGAAGTTTCATTTAGAGCTTCCTCGTATGCAGCTCTAAAATGAAACAGCTGAATATATTTTAAAGCTTCAAATCGTTGTCTAACTGATATATTATACATAGATTAGAGTCTTGAGAACATCATTACTTTTCCTCAAGTTTTCTATTCTGTGGTTGCTGCTGAAGAAAACTGCAGAAAACTTGAATGCTAGTTGATCTGCTAAACACTCTCTCTGCAGAAGCAGTATAACTCCTAATGTGGCTCTGCAGAAAGCAAAAAGCAGGAACATACTGATGAAATAAATTCTTGATTATGTTCTGGGAATGTACTTTCTTATCAAGAAGGGCTTCTGAGTACTCCACAGACTGCAGCTGAAGTAGAAGTTTCCAGCTTTTTAGACTGGAGTTCGTAACTCACAGTAAGAAGATCAGATTTCATCCTCCTTCTAGTTCTGACCTGCAATTTCTTTTCTGTGTAAGATCTACCTGATGAACCCCTAGATGGGGTTTTCTCTGACAAATTTTGGTGTGTAGTGAGTGGGCTGTATTTCTGTTGCATTGGATGCCACGTGTAGGAAAATAAGTGAATGATTTTTCTTAGGAAAAAATGGGACTCTAAACATAACTAAGACTTTTTGATATTTTCCTAGAGTGGCTTAAGAAAGAATCCCGTATACTGTTTATAACCTTGGACCCTGCCCACTGATTTGGTTTGATATTCTAATCTGGGTAATACTAATATGCTATTGATGTTCTCAAAAAGATTTTTAACATTGTTTGACCGACATTTAATTGTATGAAAGTACAAGAAAAGGAAATGTGTTTTGTGTGGTAATATTTACAAGTGCTGAGCAGAATCTTCTCTTGTATACGAGCAGATTACGGCATGCATGTGCTCTCTTTCTCTCTGTGTCCCTCTCTCTGAACTTGAAGTATACTTCAAATGCACAAAAATAGATCTTTCTCCATGTCAGTGTCACCTTAAAGCCTTCTGAATCCACAGTAATTGCTAGTTTAAAGATATTTTTGTCTATAGTTAGCTGCCTGCCAGAGAAGTAATATGCACATATAGTATCATCTGGTGAATGTTAAACCTTTGCTAAATAAATCTTTATTTTGAGCTTGTATAAATACATGGGGAAAAAAAAGCTTACTGGGAAAAACTAAGACTTCTATTGATATCCAGCAGATGATTGTATTTTAGAACAGTTACTCATTATAGTTAATTACCTTATATATTTCTAACTCTTTGGATATTAGTCCTTAATTGCAAACAAGCAAAAAGCAATTTATAGATAATGAAAGCTGATTAATAACTGTTGAAAGAATATTTAGTTTTGAGACCATGGAGTAAGGAAAATAGTATGGGTGGTTTCACAAAACTGATGTGTAGGATTAAGTAGGTTTCCTTAGTGGTGCAGTGATTTGGAGGCTCTTTATAAGAAGCACAGTGGCAGAAATGTGCTTACTTGCCATATGCAGCAATTATGCTTCTCTGTGTGGTTTTAAGATTATCAACTGGTACGCTCAGATTTTATTCAGGCTGCCTGCAGGGAAATACTGCATTACTGAAGATTACTGTTAGATTATTTTGGTTGGGTCTCCTATATGGGGGATGTAACCTGTTCTTTAATGGTACCCATCTGGACATAGGCCCTCCCGTTCCTATGTGCAATGTTAAGACCCTTTGCTGTTGCCTTCATGGCCCCGGCAGCAGGTGTCCAGGGTAGTCCCCATGAGCTGCTGTGCAGGTTAAAAAAGCACCGCTCCATCCAAGGGAGACAGCAGTATGGTGACAATATCTGCCCCTCAAAGTAGTGGTTCCCTTTGAGGTTACAGAGCCATTTAGTGGGTTGTGCTGCTTAGGACAATTGGTCACGAAGTTTGGCAGCTTTCCCGTCCAAGTGGGATGGAGATCCAATGCTAACTGTGGTGGGAATTTGCACAAGGTTATTGGGTGGTCATTAGCTAAAAAAGATTGTTTTAGAAATATGTGGAGTTGTAACACTGGTGGCATTTAAGGACTGCTACTTCTCTCTCTCTTGATCACTTCCAAGATTAACTCATTCTGGATTTTCTCTTGCTAAATTGAACACAGTTCCATCAGTGGCTGTCACTGTCTTCTGTCCTCAGGAGACAACTGAACCAGGTTGTCTGAGATTTACAAAATAGTAATAAGATTGTTCTTATTCAATAACATTAGTGTGTCCTTACAGATTTGGAAAACAGCACTCCTCTGCCCTTGTGTAAACCTGAAAAGTAATACAGAACACTGGCTGCTGGAGAAACATGGCTGGGAATGAACCTACTGTTTGAGGTTCTGAATTTAGACTGAATTGATAGAAGTTTACAGCTCTTGATTTTTTGAGCCTGGTTTGTTTTATACTGCTTTAAGCACTGGCAGTGAGAATGCTTGCTGATTAGATTTTAAGTACTGCTTTTGAATACAAGTTTTCTGAGTCTACTGGGAGGTGGGGTGGTGTTTTCTTGCTTTTTTTTGTGTGTGGGTTCCTTAGCATAATGTGTCCTTAATTTAAAAACAGTAACAGTATTCAGAAAGCAAAATAAGCAGCTGATTGAACTAAAGGTATTTAAATTGCTACAGACAGCAATAACAGCCTTTGTGCATTAAGTAAACATTGCCAGTGGCACAGATAGATCCTGTCTATCTCTCACTCAAATAGGCTTCAGCTGGTTATGAAATGCTGAAGTGTTTCACCTGCTGACAGGATCCCTTGCTCCATTGGCCAGACTGGCCCAGCTTTCTTGGTCTGCTGGAAGCAGATCCTGCAAATTTGTTTTTCTGATGGAAGGGAAGACTATACTTGTTTTCAGCTATCCTGTTAGAAGCCGCTCCCAGAGGGAAAGGGGCCC